TATTTGTGGTAAAACGTATAACACAGATAAGCTCAACTGGAAAAATCTAGGACAGAAGAAGGCAAAAGCATATTTTTAAGTTAAAATTTGTTTAATGTTTATTTATTTTTGAGAGACAGAGAGAGAGAGACAAGGGCAGAGAGAGGGAGACACAGAATCTGAAGCAGGCTCCAGGCTATTAGCTAACAGCACAGATTCCAACATGGGGCTTGAACTCACAAATTCATGACCTGAGCCGAAGTTGGACCTTAACTGACTGAGCCACCCAGGTGCCCCAACAAAAGCATATTTTTAATACAGTCCATAGGATTAAAAGACAAATTATAAAATAAATCAGAATCCTCAGGGAAGCATCAGAGTGTATGTATATAATTGATTGTGGAAACAGTTTGTTCAAGCCCAATCATCGCAGATTTTAAAAGCCCACATTGGTTGCTGACAAGGTTATATTGCTTCTATAGCTGTATAGGCACAGCAATGACAATAAGTTCAAACGTTCATTGAGCGCTTAGTATTTAGGCATTGATATTTACATGTATTATCTCACACAATCCTTGTGGCAAACATATATGATGAATATCGTCATTATCTTGGTCTTACACAGGAGAAAAGTAAGGCGAAAGACTTCAGTAACTTCGTGGCTAGTCAGTGGAAGAGGATGTAAACCCAGGCAGTCTGGCTCCAGACATGCATCCTTAACCCCTATATGTTATTAATTAAATTACATGACTAATATAAGGTAAACTTGAACATTAGGTGATTTGTCATGTGCCCAATGAGTAGATTACAAAAAGTTTTTATCAATTTGAATATATACACATTTGAGAATTCAGATACAATTATCAAATAACTGCAATTTTAGGTGTGTGTGTGTGTGTGTGTGTGTGTATAATTACATGTTAGGTAAAGTAGTACATTCATTAGAAATACTGCCTTTGTTATGTTCATGTTATGTAACCCAACAATATAGTCTAGTGATTTAGCACAAGGACTCTGGAGCCAGACTGGATTCAGATCTCAAGTCTACTATTTCTTACTTGTGACATTTGACAAGGTATTTAACTACTCTCTTCTCAGTTTCATCATATGTCAAGTATATGGTATCTACCTTACTGGGTTGTTAGGAAACATAATGGAGTAGAAAGGCGTGAAGGGCTTAGAGCAGTGCCTGACACATTAGCTTTTATATTTTTTTCCAAAGTTTCCCTTGCACCTTTGGCATCTGAGGCTCTGCCAGCACCAGAACCCAGACCTCTGATGCCGTGTTTTATAGTATCTCCCCTTCCCACATTCGCTTCGGCAGCACATATACAGTATCTCATCTCCCCTTCTAAGTTGTCTGAGATACAGAACTTCTGGTACTGCCATGGAGATTCTTATTCCAAACCACATTATCCAGTCACCTCACATTATAAATGTTTTTATTTGACATTTAAGAGGGTGCCTTGTCTCCACATTAAAATACTTACAGCATTGTTTTAAAAATTATCTTTAAAAGCTCCTCACCACCCCCCCCTTTTTTAACAACACGGTGCAGTTGGAATATTCAAGTCAAAACCCCAAGAATCATTGCTAAGTTAGGGTTAAATTTCTTTGCCTTTTAAAGATCCATTTTGTCTAAAAGCATCCAATGTTATTCCAGGGAAATCTATCTTCCCCAGACAGTAATGTATTGTTCAAAGTAAAATAAGTGAAATAGCAGAAGCAGAATTTGATAAGAAACCCTTCTAAGGGATACAGGATAATTTGGAGGAAATATAATTATCGTATTTAGATATGGGAGTTACATCATTAATATTCAGGAATAGTAGAAACAGATCTTAGGCATTTATATTAGTTTTTACCATAATTACCAGACTTCATTGTGGAACTTCACACGATAAGTACACAGTTGCCAAATCTTCACCTCATTTAGTGCTTGTTGGTACTGCTAACAGTAGGGGAACCATCCATCTCCAAACCAGAATTTTCTGGCACAATTTCCCCATGATCTATTCACCCTAAAACAGAGAGGAAAAATAAGATAAAGAGGGAGGCAACAAAAACAAAGAGGGAGGCAAACCATAAAAGACCCTTAAATACAGAGAATAAACTGAGAGTTGCTGGTGGGGTATTGGGTGGTGGGATGGGCTAAATGGGTGATGGGCATTAAGCTGAGCACTTGTTGGGATGAGCACTGGATTTTGTATGTAAGTGATAAATCACTAAATTCTACTCTTGAAACCTTTATTAACTATATGTTAACAAACTTGGATTTAAAAACAAACAAAATACAGAGAGGAAAGAAGGCGACTCTAAAATCTAAGGACAATTTCACTGCCATTCTAAAAAAATGAAGGTTTTTTGTGTATGTTAAAGTGTTAGTGTGTATACCAGCATTGTTCTCAAACTATTAGAAGATTTCACTCATGCTTGGAATATTCTTTCTCTCCTTTCCTTTTCTTTTTTTTTCCTTTTTAAGGTCACTGGTTTGGTAACTGGCATACTAGGTCCCAGGGAAGACTGGGCAAGTGTTATAAGCCCACTTCATGTTCTGGCAGCTCTTAACCTGGTTAAGGCTTTCTACTCCTAATAAACACAACTCAGTTACTTTAACAGAGGTCAGCACATTTACCATGTACTCCAGTTTCCTTTGATGTAACTCTCTGGAACCAATCCTGAGGTGTGGGGGTGGGGGGGGGGAAGTGCAGGGGGAATGCAATAACAAAATAAAAAAATGTTGTCCAAAAAGAAAAGTCTACCTGACTAGACACAAAACCGACTGCTACTCTCAAAATCCCCAAGGGGTTTCTGCAGGATATCTTGGTTTATACTTCAAAGTCAAACAAACAATGTAGAAGATTTAATCATGTAACAACTTTTTTGCTTGTCTTATCAATTGGGGCAAGGGTGAGAGAAGGAAGAAAATCCAGTAAATATGGTCATTGCTATTACAGATAGAAGCAGAATTGGAATAACATCTATATGTAACAATTCATGCCTAAGAAGGTAATATTGAATGCTCATATTCTTATGTTTTATTTAAATTTGAGAGTAATATCTCCTTTGGATAGGAAGAAATGGAAACACCAGAAGAAACAAAGGAGGCTAGGATTTTCTTTCAACCATAAGAACATTAAGTAGATGAAATAATAGATTATTGCATACTGTTGATAACCAGAAACTCAGCTTCATAGATAATATAGCTTAGAGAGTATAACCATATACTTTATCAACCAAACTGGGATATTTTTGATACAAGACGGGGACAATATTAATAATTATGCTGGAAAAACAGGCATAAAATGGGACAAATGCTGGAAAAACAGGCATAAAATGGGACAAATGTGGCTGTCTCCAGAATATTAGGTCATTCTTCCAAGAGTTGTACAGATGGTACCTACATCAGTAGATTAGAAAGTTATTTATAAAAGTTGGTAAATTAAAAACTTTGATGAGCTATTTCAGAAACTTCCTGATATTTCAAAAGTAGCTGCCCATTCAGCTCAAGAGTATGTTCCTTGATTTTTCAGTTACGTCCTTTTCCTATTCTTTCGTTTGGAGGGGTGTGTGGAGCTTTTTTGTTTGTTTTTGTTTCAATATAGTGTGTATGTTGAAAAAAACCTTTTAACTAGTGAGACTGTATTATTCCTTTGGTAACTGGTCCCAGAGCAAAGGCCTGGTTTCTTTTGTAAAGGCCATGGGGTTTGGGGGCCAGCATACACTGCAAGGGCCTGTAGTATAAATTTTAATACTATAAGCTCTGAAGACAGTTCTGCTCACTGGTTAACACCATAGCATTTGGAGTTAGGATTCCTGCACTTACAGAAACAGATTTCACACAGAAGCCCAAGCAATCAAAAGAAAAGAATCTAATTAAGCCACTCTTCAGTTGATGATCCTCAGTGGTTCTGCAGAATCCCACAAGACACTCTATCCCTGGTCCTGGCTTGTAGCTGCAGCTTCAACTCCTATGTGTTTTCCCTCATTTGCGTCTCCAATCATCCTGGCTTTATTTAGACCAGGGATTTCCAAACTCTGATGTTATCCAAGAGACACTTTTAGTTGTCACAAGGTGGCAGAGGGCATGAGAGTTGCACTATTCGCATGTAACTGATAAAGTTCAGGGATGTTGCCAAACATTCAGCAGTGCACAGGCAGCATCCCTTGCCCCCCTCTGCTCCACAAGAATCATTTAGATTAAAATGTTAATAGTGCAAAGGTCACCCCTTTCCTCACACCATGTTTTCCTTAATCCTTAACCTTGCACACACTATTCTCACTGCCTGAAATATTCATGCTCTTCTGTTCCCCTCTTTTCCCTTTTCTTTAACTCCTATTCACTGTTTTGATCATTCCCTTCTCAAAGTGGCTTTCCAGAATTTCCGTCCCAGATGAATACTACGCTCTACCAAGGAACTATAGATCACTTCAGAATACTAGTAACAATTTTACCTTTTTGTTTCATAGCCCCACCCCAACCAATCTCAGGTGAGCAGTACCATTTAGCTCACATTCATTTTAGGATCTCCAGCAGCTAGCACAGTTAGGTGGGGGTGTCGTGCAACAGTGCATTCAGTGTTACTAAATGAACATTAAACAGCCTCACTTACAAAAGTACAGTAATAGTGTAATCATCTCATTAGGTTGTAAGGATTAAATAATACACCTAAACTCTGTAACACCGTTTGAATCACATAAGTCCAGAGAGACCGGCGTTCTGTGGTTTGTGGACAGGAGACCGGCTCTGTCCGCTCGATATACCAGCACTTGCACATCCTCCAGCACGTATCCGACCTATTGAGAAATTGTTCCTGCAGTAACAAACAAATTTCTGCGCCTGCGCTTTTCTGCCTCTCTCGCTACCCAGGTTACGGGAACTATTTCCCTTCTTCTCATTGGCCCGCAACTAGACGAATTAGTGGACATCGCGCATGCTCCGTATCAGATTTCTCCTTCCCCGGCCCGCCCCATTCCCGACCCAAGAGGGCGGGCGAAGTCGGCCAACACGCCTGCGCGAGAAGCGTGCCCCGGAAGCAGTTCTTTGGCCCTGTGACACGTAGCAACTGAGCAAGTACTGGGTCTTCATCTGTGTTTGGGGGTTTCGGGGGTTGCCGGAGCTGCTGACGCCGCTACCCCTGCTTCTGCGCTTGGTGAGTGTCTCCGGCTTGCGGCACGGTGTTCGGATTCTCCCCAGGCATGGGCGGCGCGGCTAGTTGCCGTCCTTCGGCGCAGCCAGCGTTCCGGTCCTTTCGCTCAGACCCTCGTTCCCCTTCAGGTCCTTGCCTTGACGCGGCCCCTGTAGTTCAGGCGTGGCTTTTTAGGGGTCTACACCGTCGCGGCCGGCTCAGGCCTTATTTTGCAAGGAGGCAGTTGCAGTTGTCAGGGTCAAAGCTCTGCCCCGAGGGTAGGAATCGTCTTTGTTGTTTTTAGACCTCCAAGGAACCAGTTCTCCCACGACCCTCCTTCCCTTAATTATAATGACAATTGTAATAGTAACAATTGAATGACCTGGAGCCGGGGCACGTCGGCTCCTTGAAATGGAAGTGCCATCCCAGCTCTTGATTTCAAGATTAGACGTTTCCTATGTAACTGTCACCCAAGCCTATCGTCCAAATGCTGTTCCCCCAAATTCCAGAGGAAATAATTTGATGCCTACTGAGGCTTTTTGCTTAGTAGGGAAACGAATTCAGTAGCACCTTGCGTATAAACAGTATTTGCCATTCTTCTCTTGCAGATCATTTGCAATGTCAGGCTTTGATAACTTAAATACGGGTTTCTACCAGACAAGTTACAGCATCGATGACCAGCCACAGCAGTCGTATGATTATGGAGGAAGCGGAGGACCTTATAACAAGTAACCTGTCAACTTTGACCATTTATTTAGTCAAGATTAAAGTGAAAGCATGTATCCTGAATATTTGGTACTGCCTAAAACTGAATGTGTCAACATGCCCTTGACAGGAACCTGATTTTTCATACTCTTCCTGACCCTGGTTTCAGTTTGAAGGGATTGCCCTAGTTAGAGTTTGGTACCGTCTGCAAAATCTTGGATTGTGCCCTGAGTGCAAAAGTAGATTGTTAGAGCTGATTCCTACTAATAGTATTTCTATATCATTTAAGATATGGATAGGAGCTTCAAGGACCTAGAGACACCTGGGCTCTTCAGTCCAGAGAACGAGTTAAAAATTTAAAATCATGGGGGCATCTGCGTGGCTCAGTCGGTTGAGCGTCCAGCTTCGGCTCAGGTCATGATCTCACAGCCATGAGATTGTGGGTTCGAGCCCTGCATCGGGCTCTGTGCTGACAGCCAGCTGAGAGCCTGGAGTCACTTTCAGATTCTGTGTCTCCCTCTCTCTCTGACCCTCCCCTGCTCACTGCTGTCTCTCTCTTTCAGGAAAACAAAAACAGAACATTGAAAAAAATTTTAAATCTTGTAGTGGCTAGGTTAGAAGTTAAATCAGTCCAAATTCAGATCTTATCAATGTGAATTCACTGTGCTTTCTGACACTGTGCAGCAGTGTAACCTGCCTGTTATGAGTCATCAGGTGATTTCATATAGCAAGCGATAATCATTTTTATTACTCTTACAAAACCTTGTGGCCAGTACACACAAGTTGCCGGTGGCAGACTGAAGACGGATCTCAAAACCTTTCAGCCCCGAACTGTTAAGAACAAAACAAAACAAAACACCCTGATTTTTTCATAGTTTCAGGTGTTAGTGGCAGAAATACATTAGCTGAGGTTTTCTGCCAATCTGTAGCACATCGTGTTCTTAGTTTCTGAAGCCTTTGAAGGCGATCCCATCAGTCATTAACTATACCTTGTTTAGATAGTCCAGGACTCCTTCAGGAATCGTGTAGAAATGAATGGACCTGTTTTGAGCGATAAATGCATGCATTGACATGGCTGCATAAATACTGCACGTACTTTGTGTGCCGTCTGATGTTCCTCTGTAGACCCTGAATGAACAACCTCACAAAGTTTCTTCCAGGATTAGGGTCAGACAGGTTATATATCAAGTCAATTTGAGAGAAACATGAATTAATAAATCTGAATGGAAGTGCACAAGAATTTAAAAAGCAAACCAGAAACCTAATTCAGCCCTCAGTATGGTTTGTCTTGGATAAACTATACTTTTTACAACCCGTTGATCCCTTGAATTTGCCTAATTTGATATATTCTAAGGCTTTTTTTACCCCCTAAATCCTAACACATTGAACAGTGGGAGTGAGCATGTAAAAAACACTATCTGAATCGCTTTTTTCATTTTTGTTAAATTCTCAGTTATAAAGTGTTGGGGATTTGTCTTGTATTGATCAATTAACTGGGCAGAATTGGAAAAATCGTGCTGAGAAATATCCATTCATTTATTTAGTTAAGAATGCGTTTTTTGTTTTGTGTTGTTTTTTTCTTTAATTTGTGTATAAGAGGGAAATGAATGAAGGACTAGCCAGAGTGCAGCCACAGGGCTTTGGAAAACTCGTCTCTGTATGTGGGCCTCTTTAAGTAAATGATGTTTGGCTTCAGCAGAACTGTGACATTTAGATTACAACCTCCTAGGTGTATTTATCTCTGCCTTTTTTTCCTGCCCTGTCCCTGCTTGATTCCTTAAAGGTGTGACTTATCTTTTCATCCCAGTTAGCATCAGCTCAGTTCAGTTTTCTTCAGGGAGATGGTTTACATATTCTGTTGCTAATACTTCTCAACTCCATTACAACCACATCATGTACTAGTAAGCATTGCTTCAGTGTAAGGAAGTTTTTTTCCTGGTGCTTATATGCCCACTATTGCAGTTTACAAATAGGGGTTTATAGATGAAGCCTAGGAAAACAGAAAGCTTAATGTATTAGCAGTAATAATTGGGTTTCATTTATAAGTATCATTTATATATTCATAAAACAACAACAAAAAGTTAAAGACCCTTTGATCATAATCTGTTGAGTTTTATGACTGTCATGTTGGACACGTTCCACGTTGTATGTCAGATATACCTATAAAATACCAATTACATATTTTTAAAGTATTTAAAGCTAGTATTTTTTTCTTTTTTGACTTAACTGATAAAGACATTTATGGAATACAGTGTGCACTTAGTCAATACAGATCGTATCTATCATACTATGTTCTCGTTTAAAGCCAGCAGGAGCAAATCAGGAATTTTCCTGACCAGGTCCTACCAGAAGAGGAAAATAGTAAAATTCCGTGGCGTTGTCTTTCTCATCTTACATCTTGAAGAAGGAATGAAGACACCGCTTTTGAAGTGATCATTTTCTTGGGGGCTATTTCTCTTCCTTACGTGACATTTATGAGTCTTATGTCAGCCATTCTGAAGTGTGGCCTGCATACGCCAGAGGGTTCTTGAGTCCTTCCAGGGAGTCTTTAAGCTCAAGACTATTCTTATAACAGTACTGAGACATTATATACCTTTTTAGGTATGTTGACATTTGTACTGTTGTAAAAATAGTGATTGATAAAAGTGCTAGTACCTGAATGTGAATCAAGACAAGGGCATCAAATTATTCTGGGTATCATTATATTTCTCATTGCCACATACTTGCTGGGATGCTAGGGGAGCCACTTTTATTTAAGGATGCCCTTGATGAAGCAGTAAAACTTACTGTGTTATTAAATCCTGACCTTTTAGTACACACATAGTAATATACTCTGCATGACAAATGGGAAATAGTCCTTCTGGTCTTTACTGGAGCACAGTCATTATCGCTAAGAAAAGGCCCTGTGCAATTTGAATCGCAGGTTGAATCAGCTGCTTTTTCATGAAAACTATTTTTACTGGAAAGAACATCTGACAAACTATGGTTATTTAAACTTGAGTACTGGGCATATATTTTCCTGAGGATGAAATAGTTGAGCCTATTACTTCAAGAAATAAAACTGGCAGTATGTGTAGCCAGTGATTAAATTCTAGTTTTCAGGTAAAAATGAAGATTTGGGAAAACTGTCCATAACTGTCAGTTTCCTAGTAGTAACCATTTTTCTGATGAAATCACTGGTCATATTAACAAATGTGATTTTCTTATATTTATCCTTCATATATATGTTTTTATATTAAATATGTCAGTATTTGGGAGATATGTATAACTCACTAATATTTTCTAAGTCAACAGTGAATGTTACAGAATCATACGTGAGTAAAGATACAGAATCATACGTGAGTAAAGAAAGGATCCATTCAAAGCGCAAAGCACATCACTGTATTCTGGGACAGTATAAAAAGTTATTAGTGAGGCACCTCGTGGCTCATTTGGGCATCCGACTCTTGATTTTGGGTCAGGTCATGATCTCACAGTTTCTGAGTTCAAACCCTAACTTGGGCTTTGTGCTGATAATGTGGAGCCTGCTTGGGATTCTCTCTCTGCTTCTCCTCTGCATGTGCACGCACATGTGTGTGTGTGTGTGTGTGTGTTGTGTGCATACGCGCACACTCTTTATTTCTCAAACTTAAAACGTTTATTGTTGTTCCGTCTTCTGTGTTGCAATTTAAATTTAAAACACTACGATTTTTTGGGTTTCGATATGAAAAGAACATTCATGATAATAATCTCAAAAGGTTAAATAATTTTCCAACTAGTCTGCCTGACTAGATTTTTTTTCAGATACTTCAACTAAGGCAATATATCACCACAAACGGAATACAGAAACAGATATAAGAATTTTTAGCTGTTGTTAAACTAGACATGAATGAGATTGTCAAAAATATAATACAGTGCCACTTTTCTCAATAGTTTTTTAAAGTTATTCTTTCATTAAAAATTTATGCCAACATAGAATGGATTTATTGTGACTCTGAATGAATATTTAGGTTTTTTTTAATGTTTGTTTTTGAAAGAGAAAGTGTGCAAGTGGGGTAGGGGCAGAGAGAGAGGAGACACAGAATCCAAAGCCGGCTCTGTTTTCTGAGCTGTCAGCACAGAGCCCGACACGGGGCTTAAACTTATGAACAGTGAGATCATGACCTGAGCCAAAGTCACATGCTTAACCTACTGAGACACCCAGGAGCCCCATTAAACATTTTGAACATTTCTCACTTTTAATTTCTAATATGATAAATATTGACAGATACAGCCCACAGAAATAAAAAATCTTTGGGTTTCCTAGTAATAAATTTTTATAGTAAAAGGGGATCCTAAGAACAAAGAATTTGAGAACAACTGGTCTATACTATTCTTTTTGTTTTTTTCTGTTGCATACACACTCATATTCTCTCTTTCTGTGAAAAAGAGAATAAAATCCATCCTGTTGATGCAGATTGTCTGAGCCTCCATATGGAGCTTTTCTAGTTGTTTTATAAACTCCATGTTAGATTTATGATACATTTTAACAGAGATCAACATAGCATATTTTACTAAATCAGAAAATGTGAATTCTTCTCCTAGTTTACTTCAACCAGCTAATCCTGTGGGATAAGTGTGTGTATGTTTAAGTAAGTAGAAACCAACATATTTCATACTAGAATGGGGAAAGGCATATATGGAAAAAGGATATAGCTATCTCTATAAAGTAGGATTTGGGGGTGATTTTTATTATAATTGTTAAGAGTTGGTCCCTGGAGTCAAAAAGTCTAGTTTGAAATCTTGGCACCACCATACACAAATCATTTTAGCCTAAGTATTAGCTTCTACATCTTTATAATGGGAAAGATGTTAAAAGCAACTTCCTAAAGTTGTAGTGAGGTAATATGATATAATTCACACTAAACATTTACAACTGTGCTTTACAAAGTGACATTCAGGGGTGGCTGGGTGGCTCAGTTGGTTGAGCATCTGACTTTGGCTCAGGTCATGATCTCATGTTTCGTGGGTTCGAGCCCCATGTCGGGCTCTGTGCTAACAGCTCAGATCCTGGAGTCTGTTTCAGATTCTGTGTCTCTCTCTATCACTGACCCTCCCCTGCTCATGCTGTCTCTCTCTGTCAGAAATAAATAAAAACATTAAAAAAAACAAAACAAAAACATTTAAAAAAACCAAAGTGACATTCAAATAGGTTATTTGTATTTTTGTAAATTTTTAGTAGCTAATATGTACCTGTATGTTACTTATAACATATGTTAGAATGAATGAATTTTGATAAAAGTTTTTAATGTGAAAATTAAGTCTTCCACTTCCCTTTGCTTCCAGGTTCCTTTACCTATATAATTATATGTGTTATATTAAATGTTACATTATACTCAAACCTATATAATTATATGTAATGTAAGTATATGTGTATAAAATACACATTCAAATATATAGATACAGATGTATTCTAAGAAGTACAATCATAGTGGGTATATAAGGTATATACTATTCTGAACGTTGGGTGTTTTTTGTTTCTGTCCACTAAATATTTTTTGATTATCATTCCTTATTAGTACACATTGAAGTACCTTATTCCTTTTAATGGGTGCATAGTAATTTATGCCTATATAGTATATTTACTGATAACTGTTTTTGGTTTTTATCATTTGCTGTTAAAATAATGCTTTGGGACACCCAGGTGGCTCAGTCAGTTAAGCACCCGACTCTTGATCATGATCTCATAGTACGTGAGTTCAAGCCTCGTGTTTGGCTCTGCACTGACAGAACAGAGCTTGCTTGGGATTCTATTTTTCTCTCTCCCTCTCCCCTTCCTTTGCTCATGCATGCTTTCACTCTCTTGCTTGCTCTCTTTCTTCTCTCTCTCTCTCTCTCTCTCCTTCCCTGAAAATAAGTAAATAAAACTTTAGAAATTGAAAAAAATAATGCTTCGTCGAATTCTGTATTACTATGTAGCCAGAAAAATAACATTTTTTTAAAGCTTGGGTTGGACTAGAGTGGTAAATAAATCTTGAGTCTCCGTCCCATTGGACTTTCCAGAGGGTTTTGCCATTTTGCCATTATTTGGATTTGCTTTTATTTTATTATTTTTAAATGCTTATTTATTTATTTAAAGAGAGAGAGGAAGAGAGAATCCCAAGCAGGCTCTGGTGTCTCAGAGAAGAGCCAGTTGTGGGGCTTAGTCTCACAAAGCATGTGATCATGACCTGAGCCAGAATCAAGAATCAGACACTTAACTGACTGAGCCAGCCAGGCGCCCCCGAATTTGCTTTTAATCAAGACGTTCAGTTAATTTAAAAATTAGATTTAGTTTTAAAATCTCAAATAATATTCATGGCAGTCATTAGATTTTATATTTATTAAAAGGAAAGTATAAAATTTTAAAAGGTAATTAAAGCATCTTTAAGCCTTCTCAGTTGTTTTTAAAAATATCTTTTCAAGTAATTATTTTACTTCTATATTTCTTACTTTGTATTTAGATTAGTCCCATTGCTAGGTAGGTCATATTTTTTCCCCAGAACATGTTGAAACAAGTTTTGAAAGATACTTCTTCAATGTCCTTCTGTTCCCTGTTTTGTTTTTTTCTTCATTAAAATAGCCATGGTAAAACCTTTGTCTACAATGCAGGATTTACTATAGCACATATCAAATGAGACAGTAGGCGTTTACCTACTTTGAAAAGTTGAAAGTGCTATTCAAATGCAAGATGTACTAACAGTGTTCTGTTATATTCAGAAAGCTTTCAGAGAAAGAGGCTTGAATTTTTTCACTCTGTGTTTGAAATTGATGGTTGTTCTTAAAGAGATTTACCCACTTGCAAAAAAATAACACACTACAGAGAGTAAAGAAGAATGATTTGACATTCGATGGAGATTCAAACCACAATGGAACATTATATAACTTGTAGTACAAAGTCTCATGTTACGTTTTAATTCATAGTCTTAGGTATAAGTTTTATTCCTCAGCTATCTTTCTATTATATATAATTTATTTTATTATATTATATATAATTTATTATATATAGTATATATTTTATGATATACACTTACTGAAAGGCGATAAGTAAGATTTTTTAGTTTTCATTTGTTGATCCCCCAAGGCTTTAAAAATTTCAATAGTTTGTAAAATTCTTAAGCACTGTGTGAGTGTTGGCATTGTCAGGAAGATCCTCTTAAAAAAAACACTGACAGCATACCACTGGAGAGAATCACATTACTCTTAGTAATCATTTCAACACTATTTATGCAAACTGGCACAGTAGCTATCCTAGGAAGTGTGTGACGGTTCCTGTCATGCTCTCAGGGATGTCCACTGTTGACATTCTGAGAAATGGAACTTTGATTTACAGACCATATGCTGGCTATGACTACTCACAACAAAGCCGATTTGTCCCTCCGGACATGATGCAGCCACAACAGCCATACAGCGGGCAGATTTTCCAGCCAGCTCAGGCATATACTCCGACGACACCTCAGCCATTCTATGGAAACAACTTTGAGGATGAGCCACCGTTACTAGAAGGTAGGATGGGTTGCACAGTACTATGTAGTGTCCAGCTGGTTAGTAAAAATAAACCTTAATTTGGAGAAGTTCTCCCTTCCTTTGGAAGAATAATATTAGAGAAAAAAAGTTTTCTACTAAGTAACCCATTTTGAATAGAATGTATATGAAACCACATTGAGCCATAAGGGATCACATTTTTAATAGATGTTTATAACGTGATAATTAGATCAATATGTGAGCATTGACTTTTACTTCACATTATTGATTCAATTCTGTCATTGGAAGAAATGAAAGGAAATAGCATGGTAGTTATTATTCTCCATGGAAGAAGCTGGCAAAACTTGTAACATCACTGAAAAATATGGTGATTTTCAAATTGTATTCCAAAACCCATAAGGCAGTAGTTCTGAATAATTAGGGGCGGGGAGGTTGATTACCCTGTGAAAGTCTAATAAAAGCTATGAACACTCTTCTCAGAAAAATGCACACCTGTGCATAGAAACGTAGTTTTATATACAATTTCATAGCATCTCCAGGTATTCCTGAAGCCCCATGTGAGGAACGCCTTATGCTTAACCCCTGTCCATATAGTCTTTGTTATGCAGTCGTAGCTGAGAATCTCTTGTTTTGTCACATCCAAACACTTGTCCATCACCAAACCAGAAATCGGGTTTTTGTGAAGTAAGCACCACACTCAGGGAAGACTGTTGTTGAGGGCTTCCCAAAATAATGTCTCATCTTGCTGAGTGTTTCATTTTGTCTCCTGCTCCACCATAGATTCTAGTAAATTAAAGGCATGTCACAAATCCTAATTGCTTTCTTATTTTCTCTTCCTTTAGAATTAGGTATCAATTTTGACCACATCTGGCAAAAAACACTAACAGTGTTACATCCATTAAAAGTAGCAGATGGCAGCATCATGAATGAGACAGATTTGGCAGGGCCAATGGTTTTTTGCCTTGCCTTTGGAGCCACATTGTTACTGGTAAGATGTTAGTTTGAACTCTCAGTATGAGATTAAAGAACATTCTTTAATGGCCAAGAACTGTTTATACATCAGATCTTTCATGTGTTTTGAATGATATTGAGTTGCTTGAATTTATACCCATTCATTGCTTCTCCATTGATAATAAATGTAATATATTTGGAAATATTTTTTTAAGTTTATTTATTTATTTTGAGAGAGAGAGAACATGTGCGCTTGTGAGGGGGATGGGAGTGGAGAAAGAATCCCAGCACGGGGCTCCATCTCACAAACTGAAATCATGACCTGATCTGAGATTGAGAGTCAGACACTTAACTGACGGAGCCACCCAGGCGCACCTAACACAGTACTGTCTTAAGTCTGTTGAGGAATGTCTTTTATAATTTAGTTTAGTTTTGTTTTGTTTTGTTTGTTTATCAAAAGACTGAGTAAGTCCACCAGTGATTTGGAAAAATAATGAAAGAAAAATACATCTTCCATTATATTTTTCTTGCTTGGTCATTATTTTTCTTTTTTCCTCCCTTCCCCATGAAACCCTGGTATCCTGCTTATCCTGACTTCTTTCTCTTATCTTCTTTAACAGCCGTATAGGTGAATGATGAAATTAGTTCTGCTGTTAAAATGATTATGATTTCATCTGCCTATGAGAATAAATTGCTTTGAGGCAATTTTGGTGGTATTTGTTGCTTTCAGGGAATATTGGCTATTATCTGAGATTTTCCATCTTGTGTCTGTAGTTTATTTGCTTAAAATCAGACAGATTTCTTTTTAGAAATCTATTTCTTAAAGATGATCGTAGCATGATTTTGTGTCTCTGTTTGCTGAATTGTTGATCTACTACCTGGAAAATGAAAATCAAATGTATGTATATTGAGAAGTAGGTACCTCAGACTTCCTGAGGAAGGTGTAATAGCCCATCCATGTTTTACTATGCTGCATAAAGAATAGATGCCTGGGGGTGCCTGGTAGTTTAGTCAGTTAAGCTTCCAACTTTGGCTCAGGTCACGGTTCGTGAGTGTGAGCCCTGTGTCAGGCTCTGAGCTGACAACTCAGAGCCTGGAGCCTACTTTGGATCCTGTGTCTCCCTTTCTCTCTGTCCCTGCCCTGCTCGTGCTCTGTCTTACTCTGTCTCTCAAAAATAAATAAATGTAAAAAAAAAAAAAAAAAAAAAAAAAAGATGCCTGCACAGATTTTGATGCTCACAAATTGAATATTTTCTACCTGTAGTATTTTAGGTGAAATAAAGCCAAATATAACTTTTTTTTTCCCCCTTTAACCCATAATCTTTTCTTTACCCATAGGCTGGCAAAATCCAGTTTGGCTATGTATATGGGATCAGTGCAATTGGATGTCTAGGAATGTTTTGTTTACTAAACTTAATGAGTATGACAGGTGTTTCATTTGGTTGTGTGGCAAGTGTCCTCGGATATTGTCTTCTTCCCATGATCCTACTTTCCAGTTTTGCGGTGGTTTTTTCTTTGCAGTAAGTACTGATCTTTATTTTGGGGATTGACTAATTCTCTGTAGTAGGATATACCTCACCATCAGTTTGAGATAAATCACTAATTCATCGAACATGAGATAGTGCCTGTTGTGAATGAGGACTATACTACAGGCATTTCAGTGATAAACACTGAAACTAAGAATAAATTTTAAAAAGTTTTTATTACCATCTCTGCTTTTATCTGTGATAAAGAATGTCACTACTTTTGTGTTTTCTTAGCAGTGTCAGTAAACAAACTGAACAGGAGTGATTGTTAAATATTGCCTGAAAAGATCAGGTTGTTAAAAGTGTACTTTCCATCTCTGATATTTTTTAGACCATATCTCGTTTCTTAAAGATGTTGGGCATATGCTAAGTGTTGAATAATAAAACACATGTTCTTTATTTGGAAGCTTTTTAAGTGAAAATGAAACATTTGTTTTTATGGTGAGAGGCTGTTAGTAGCCTATCATGTCCTCAGATGTCTATGTAAGCAGCTTTAAGTGTGTAATTTGTTAAATTCTGTTTTAGGTCTGGTGAAAAAGAAAGGTTTAAATTCCTGTGATAAGTTCTCTCCTCACAGCCAGTGTGCAGATTCTTTCTCAGCAGTCCAGGCTCCTCCATGTGGCTAGTGCCTGGCACAGCCGGCGATGGGGCTTTGTTGCAGGAGGAAAGTTAAAGGAGGGATTTCAGAGAACAGCGCATAGCAGCAGTTTGACACTAGAGATTTGGCAAGATGATGGCCTCGCAGAGTTTCTGCCTTGCATAAACATGCTTCAGATCTCAGTGTAGAAACTTTGACTCTTCATTTGTTGAGATTGGTACACTTAGATTTGAATTTTACAAAGCAGATTTTCTTTGAATGCACTGTTTTCTAACCAGAGCAGTTTGGCTCTTGGGAGGCTTTTGGCTGTGTCTGGAGGTAATTGTGTTGGCCGCAGTATGGGGGGTGCAGATGGGCTGCAGGCCAGGGGCTCTGCTGACCAGCCCAACGGTGTTCGGAACAGCCCTTCACAACAGAAGTGCATCCATCCCGCATGTCCGTAATGCCAACATTGAGAAACCTGGCTGCTTTGCTGACACGCATAAAATGTAATTATAAATGAGGTTTTTATCACATTAGTGAATGTGACTGTAAAGAATTCCACATTATTGAATTTACTGTGAGGTGTATCATTTTAGCATTTGAAAACAAAATCTTGGCCATTTCTGCAGGTGTGTATAATGTGGATTTAAGATGCTTTTCTTTAGAATCGGGTTATTACATAATATTATTATTACATAATTATTATTACATAATCTCACCTACTGCCTTTTTCCCCTCTCCCCGTTTTTCCTTGTCGGTTACAGAGGAATGGTAGGAATCATTCTCACTGCTGGAATTATTGGATGGTGTAGTTTTTCTGCGTCCAAAATCTTTATTTCTGCGTTAGCCATGGAAGGACAGCAACTGTTAGTAGCATATCCTTGTGCTCTGTTATATGGAGTCTTTGCCCTGATTTCCGTTTTTTGAACTGAATTTATCTGGCATGTGGACACCATTGGGCCAAAAAGGACTTTGAACTCCTACTGGACCAGCGAACTGCAGTGCAACTCTCGTGCAGACCTAACGTTTGACTCTTGGAGCAGTGGACGTAAACATATATCTTTTGTTCATTTTTACAGAACTTTTGAAGACTATGTTGGATTTACCTGCAGTATGACTAGCTTTAAGTGTCTGTGCTTATACAAATAAGAATAAGAAGTACTGTTTCTTTCCTTTTTTGCAGCCTTTGAAAAACAAAATTTTTTCTTGCAAATTATATTAAGATGTTTTTGATAGATTTTTATCAACTGTGGGAAACTAACCACAGGGCTGATAATCTTTTCTTAAAAACAACCCAGTCTTGGTTAAGAAGACACAAGACTTAGTGCAGAAATATTTTTCTAAGGGATTAGGAAAGAAAAATTGCCTGTAGTCTCAAGTTAGATGCACTTGCAGCAAAAAAGTGATCCCAATGTAAAGGTTTATGAGTTTGCCCTTCGCAAATTTGACATTCCTTTAAGTTATCTCATGCAGTTTTTGCTAAAATTCAACAAGACAAGAAGTTCCCGGTCTACTTTATTGTAGACAGGAAATGTGCGCACTTCTGAGGTTAGCATTAACTCAACCATGGTGACCTAGACTGGCCGCATTAATGTTCATAGTCGGATCTCCATGTTTCCTAGGAAAAAGAAAATCACTAACCTTTTTTGAGGAAAAGATTAAAATGTCACAATTTCAGTACTGCAGTTATCAGTGTAAAGTGCATTTGATGCTTAGTAATTAAAATTTTCCCAGTTTTAACTGTGTTGAATTGACTTTTGCTGTTTTCGGTGTCGCATTTTCTTTAACTGGGTTCCGGTTTTAACTTGTTTTCCTAATTTATTCTAAGCCTGAAGAATAGAAGTCATTTAGCATAGAATCAGTAAAAAAAGAGATTAAGTGAAAAACAGTTTACTTTGAGTTACAACATTATTTCCTTGTATTAAATTTATGTGGCCCATGTCGTGCCCTCTTGCCAGAAAATCTGTAAGAAAATGCTATATCTTGTATTTTGATATAGCTTCGGCTTTTTCTGAAAAAAACTGCCTCTGATTTTGGACAAGCTCATTTATAGCTGTGAGAAAGATGCCTTATGGGAAGGAAAATGTTGCCTTTTTTAAAAAAGGAGACCTTCAGACCAAATAAAAAGAAACACCAAGCTGATGTCAGTGGTTCTTTTTAAAAGTTAGTTTTCAGTCGTAAAAGGAGGTTAAGATAACAAAACATGTCCTGAAAGATCATGATTTCTGATCTCTGGAATCACATAAATATGTTTTTCTTCATACTTAATCTTCTAGAGGAATACTCTCACTAATTAGCTTTGGGCTGGGTTTTCAGACATATCAAAGTGTTTTAGAATACTTTTTATTGTAATCTGTGGTAGTATTTGTTTTGCCTTTTTCAGTTCATTTTGTAAATACACACTTGTTAAGGCAGATATAATGAATGCCTTCTGTGAATATCCAGTTTTTCTTCCTGATCAATGGAAAAGATGCTTTGGGAATTAAGTTTTCCCACTGTTGTTTGGACTTAGACCATTAATCTTCACCCAGATTCCCCAAGTAGATCAAATTGTTTTCTTATTTTTTGCCTCTTCCACCCCCAAGATCATACTTTTTAATTTAAATCAATATTGAGAGACTATTGTTATTTGTCTTATAGAACTCCAAAATGATTACATGCAAACCCATTTTATATATAATGGTTATCCTGTCAAAACAGCTTTATAGTGAAGTTGTATGTAATGCAAGAGGTTAGTTCTAGAGTTTGCTTGCCACCTGGTGAGATTTCCCTTCTAAAATCTCCCTTGAAAATACAATATATGTAGCCATATTTATGCCTACTTTAAAAACTGAAAACTGTGTTTCAAAAAGTTATATATAGTAACTTTTTTCTCTGGCATTGTAGTAGATTTCTGTTTCCTGAGTTAAGTTCCAAGAAGGGCATCTAGCTTGCTTTTAGGGCCCATGTTATACCAAAACCATACATGTAACTTTAAATACTAGAGACCCTCACTGTAGCTTCAAGCTCACTTAGTGATTGTTCCTGGGTAATAAATTTACTGTAAATGGATCTGCAAGTTCACTCACTGGAGCTAGTGTGTTATGTGTTATTTATGCATGCATATATGTCATGGAAAGATAATTGCTTGTATTTATGGGATAAATGTATACTTTATGACTTTTAATACATGTTATATTACCAGGTTTACCAATGGGTGCTTTCAGGAGCTGTGTAGCTAAGCTTGTAGGAATAGGCGTTCTTTCTCCACATACAGTTAAAAAGATAGTGCAAAATTCTATAAATCTTAAAATACTAATTCTATTCTCACATAATAAGCATCGAATCAAAGATAATTTTTTAAAACAAATCTAATGACATGATTTCAGGTAGAATTTAAGTACTGTACATTTGACATTTTGCAAGTTTATTTGTAACCTTAATGGGCATTGCTCAACTCAAATATATCCAGTTATGTAAGGACAGTTGTCTCTGAAGTTCAAAGTTTGCATTATTTTGATAGTATTCATTACCTGTGAAAAAAGAAGACTTTCCTTTCTGAAATTAAACACTTTTTTCCATATAAATGGAAAAATTTAGAACTTTGGGCAAAAGGAGAACCGTAGAAATTAAAATCTTCTCCTTTAGGGTACTGTGACCTAGTTGTGGAGAATTGTGGGAATTCAAGAGCACATTGGAGATCCACCTGTTATCATATAGAGCAGAGGTGATGTAATGACTCAGACAATTTGCTAAACTTGTCCTGTGGGGAGGGATACACACACACACACACACACACACATAATGACAAGGTGCCCTGCGGGAGGTATGTGTGTATGTATAAACATCTGTGTGTGTGTAAGCTTTCATAAAGTATTTACTAATTTTTTCCAGAAAATGTAGAATGGTACAGATATAGCAGGAAGAATACCAAAGAACAGCACTGGGTTTCACAACGCTAGCTAGACCAAGCTTCTACCCAAGCTCACATCCTCACAAGCTATCCACTGATTCATTTGGTGATGTCATGTCAAATTCCAATTACTGGTTACCAGAGGATCTCAATTTTTATAAATTGCCATTTATTTGGAAATGAAAGCTTGAAGCCTTTCCTAAGCAATTTTATCTAATGATATGCTTGTGTCCAAATAAGAACATTAAGAATGAAACATTTAGAATTAGGCAAAAACATAAGTACCTTTTCAAAAAATTACAGTAGTTAACAAGAGATTCTTTTTTTCTTTTCAGGGTGTATTTAGGTTTTGGGGAATGTAATGGGAATAGCAAGATATCAGAGTTTATTATGAATGCCCTAAGGAAGAATTAGATTCTGTGCTTTTATGAATAGTAGATAAGAATGATCTATCATTAGCTTGTCAAGGATACAGTAGTTACTTTCAAACAGCCTAAGAAAAATCTATTCTCCCTGCTCTGTGCAGTCAATGCTATTAATATTTTACACCACCAGTGAAGATATAATTGGTTTTTAACTCTACCACTATCCAAATTATTGAAGTTTGAATTTTAACGCATTACTATCACTTGAATTTCAATAAGCTTCTTTGTTCTTTAATAATTGAATACTCATAACTGGGCAATAGGAAAAATAAAACATTAAACATGAAATTATTGATTTCTAGGGATAGGCCGAGTACTTACTTAAAAGTGTTTTATATTAACCAATGTATGTCTCAGAAAGGTAACCATAAACTGAAGAATCAAATCTGGTGGTGTGCAGTTAGGATTTTTGCATCACAGCTAGGAATGCTTCATCTACCCTTGCGCACAAAGTTCCTACTTTTTAGTTAATGAAGAACATTATCTGCTGATGGGAGCACAGTGTCCTTTGTTTGTGCAAATAAATTAAAATGATTACGTACTCAAATGAGGACTAATTAAATACAGAGCTGTTCTCCTAATTTAAAAGCACAAATACTTTGTTGAGTACATTAGGTTCTGAAAATCGGATATTACATTTTTTTGTGAGCCTAACTAATTAGGCTTACCTTGCATATATAAATTTGGCTTATTTCTTTTTTTTTTTTTAATGTTTTATTTATTTCTAGGAGAGAGAGAGAGAGACAGCGTGAGCAGGAGAGGGTCAGAGAGAGAGGGAGTCACAGACTGAAACAGGCTCCAGGCTCTGAGCTGGCAGTCAGCACAGAGCCCGACGCGGGGCTCGAACCCACGAACTGCGAGATCATGACCTAAGCGAAAGTCGGACGCTCAACCGACTAAGCCACCCAGGCGCCCCAAATTTGGCTTATTTCTGAAACTACCACTAAATCTGATAGCATGCAGATTAATTAGGCATTAAGATGATTTAAATAGCTTTTCAACACGAGTGACACAAAAAGAATTTTAAAAATGAGAAAACAAAGTACTCAGTAGAAACGTTTAAAAAACTTGTAAATGTATCTGTTTATCTGGGTTACTCTGATTATCTTAAAAGTAGAGAAAGCAGTATGGTTATTTCATTTTTTCTCCAAATAAAATATAAAACAAACAAATGTCCCTAGAGAATTTCATGATAAATTTGCTTATCGTTTTCAGTTTGTGATTTTTGATAATGCTGTATGACTTGATAGTCTTTTCTTTAGGTAGAAATGGTCCTAAAAGTCCTACTATTTTTTATATGTTTTAATTTTCAAAATAGCAATGTGTTTATTTCCTTTTCCTGTTACATGCTGTCATTACTATAAAAATACCTCTATAGACCTCAGTACGAAGGAGTGGATTTTTGATAAGCTGTTTTAACAATAATGACCCTCAAAAACATTATGCTAAGTAAGAAAGAAAAAAAACAGCCAGATGTGAAAGACCACATATCCATTTATATAAATTTCTAGAAAAGAAATCTGTAGAAACAACAAATTAATAGTTGCCTGGTGATGTAAGTGGGGATTGATTGTGAAGAAGCAGGAAGGTTTTTGGGTGATTGCACAGATTACAGTTGCACAACTGTATGTTTATTAAAATCATTAAGTGTACCTACCCTTAAAGTGGGTTAGATTTATGTTATGTCAGGAGCATTGAGGGTGAGAATGGGAAGTAGAGCAAACTGCTAGAATATCTGTATTTTTAGAGTTCAAGAGAACAGAAAGAAGAATCCTAAGATTGATTTTAATAGAGGAAAAAACAATATAGTTCTTTTGCCCAGAGGGAAAAAACACAATACCAAAGAAGTGAGACTGCCACCCGCTCCAAACTTTATGCCCCACATGAGTCGCCTCAAGTAGATGGGTTTGCTTTTTATCAGACCATGAACACAGGTGTCCTCTTCTTCCCTGTGTCTCTAGGAGCTTGTATACACATGGTTACACATGTGCACACCCCTAGTTTTATTTATTTATTTATTTATTTTTTCATTTTTGAGAAACAAATTTTTAATTTTTATTTATTTTTATTTTTATTTTTATTTTTTTTACAAATAGTTTATTGTCAAATTAGTTTCTACATAACACTCAGTGCTCATCCCCAAAGTGCCCTCCTCCATGCCCATCCCCCCCTCCCCCCCACATCCATCAGTCCTCAGTTTTTGTCAGCATTCAAGAGTCTCTCATGGTTTGCCTCTCTCCCTTTCCCCCACCATTTCCGCCCTTGTTCCTCCGTCAAGTTCCTCCTAATCCTCCTATACGTGCAAACATATGATATTTGTCCTTCTCTGCCTGACTTATTTCGCTCAGCATAACACCCTCAAGGTCCATCCATGTTGCTACACATGGCCAGATTTCATTGTTTCTCATTGCCATGTAGTATTCCATGGTATAGATAAACCACATCTTCTTGATCCATTCATCTGTTGATGGACACTTAGGCTCTTTCCTTGTTTTAGCTATTGTGGAGAGTGCTGCTATCAACATTGGGGTACATGTGCTCCTATGCCTCAGCATTTCTGTATCCCTTGGGTAAATTCCTAGCAGTGCTATTGCTGGGTCATAAGGGAGTTCTATTGTTAGTTTCCTGAGGAACCTCCACACTGTTTTCCAGAGGGGCTGTACCAGTTTTCATTCCCACCAACAGTGTAGGAGGGTGCCCGTTTCTCCACATCCTCGCCAGCATCTAGAGTTCTCTGATTTGCTCATTTTAGCCACTCTGACTGGCGTGAGGTGGTATCTCAGTGTGGTTTTGATTTGTATTTCCCTGATGAGGAGGGATGCTGAGCATCGTTTCATGTGTTTGTTGGCCATCTGGATGTCCTCTTTGGAGAAGTGTCTGTTCATGTCTTCTGCCCATTTCTTCACTGGGTTGTTTGTTTTTCGGGCTTGTATTTTGGTGAGTTCCTTATAGATTCTGGATATTAACCCTTTATCTGATATGTCATTTGCAACTATCTTTTCCCATTCCGTTGGTTGCCTATTAATTTTCTGGGTTGTTTCCTTGGCTGTGCAGAAGCTTTTAATCTTGATGAGGTCCCAACAGTTTATTTTTGCTCTTGATTCCCTTGCTTTTGGGGATGTGTCAAGTAAGAAGTTGCTGCGGTGGAGGTCAAGGAGGTTGTTTCCTGCTTTCTCCTCCAGGGTGTTGATAGTTTCCTGTCTCATGTTCAGGTCCTTGATCCATTTTGAGTTGATTTTTGTGCATGGCACACCCCTAGTTTTAAAATTTTTATTAAAATTCACTTAACAAAGTCCACCATTTTAATCATTTAGCGGCTTTAATTTACAACCATCTTCACTATCTAATTTCAGAATATTTCCATCACCTCACAAAGAAACCTTATACTTTGCAATTTCCTACCTCCCATCCCCTGGCTATCACTACTTATTTTCTGTCTCTGGGGTTGCTTATTCTGGACATTTCATGTGAATAGAAGTATGAAGTGTGGCCTTTTGTTTCTGGCTTCTTCCTCTTAGTATAAGTTTTCAAGGTCTCTCTTTTTTTTTTAACCTTGCAGTCTCTTGTGGACATCATTACATATGTTGAACGTTGAAATTTACTTCATTCTTTTTAGTAGTTGGATATCATTTTATTAAATGGCCAGGATTTATTTTACTTCAGCAGTCCCCTTTTGTCAGACAATTGGGATCTTTTTACCTTCTTTAAAAAGTAGGGGCACCTAGGTGGTCAGTCGGCTAAGTGTC